ATCAGTTTTTCTGGCTGCTTTCCCTCGTTACAGACTCGAACATAATCTGAAATGCCATTGGTCTTCTCCAGTTGAACTCAACTTCTTAATTAGTTTTCCTTTTAGACTTTACCTTTTGGGTTTATGCCTGAAGCTACTGCTATAGACACATATGGATGTATATTGAATATATATATTTACGTACTTATATTTTGTATTTCTCTGGAACTATCTCTGTACACATGCTTTATTCACATTGAGACCCATGTTGCCCTGCATTTAAAAAAAAGTGACAGAACCCAACTGAAATTTCCATATACTACTTTAATTTCATCATCTCCTTTTCAGGAATGATTCAGTGATGTGTAACTCAGCAAATATGCATTGGGCACTTTCTCTGGGGCAGATACTTTAGATCCTACAAGTATAATACTTAAAACAGACAAAGGTTCATGTTGTCATAGGACTAATGTTCTTGCAAGGAGTAACATGTAACAAACAACAGATCTCCTGAATAATAAGCAAATGATGTAGTTTAGTAGAAGCTGATAAAAGCTGATGGGAAATAAAAAAAGGAGAAGATGATGAGATAATCAGATTTATGAAAAAGAAGTGTCAGCAATAATTTTACATTATTAGAAATATGGTTATTAAGGATGTAGAATGTAAGTACAGGTATAAAGACTTTGATAAACTGCAATATATGTAAAATAATATGGAGACAGAAGTGACTGAGGCAGAGAGATCAGTAAGGGGAAAATCATGATTGCTCATTTTAATGGCCATCAGGTAGTGCATTATTCAGAGACGTTTTGTATTTGAGATACTTAATGGAATAAACCTTAAGATATTCAGCCAACAGTTTGGAACTCAAGTGCAGTACTTTGCAGAGAATTTGAGATCATAGATGACTTTATATTCTGCGTCTGACCACCCTTTCTATGTTTGGGGTATCCTTTTACATTATGGAGTAGTTTTTTCCTCTAGAAACAAAAAGATGCCAGGAAAAATTTCCCTAGCCTTCTGTGCAGCTGTAGTCCAGATACACAATCAAGGCTCTAGTGATAAGGTTTATTTATGCATATTTTAAAACAAAAAGTCAGTACATGAAAAAGCAAGGGTAACACATACTCAGGTTTTTGAGGGGGCAGAAAAGTGCCACGTACATAATTTTTCAGAGTTACGAATAGATAAATGATGCTGGAGTGACAAGATCTGCGCCTAGTCCTGTTTCCATGTGACCATTTCTATAACACTTTAGGAGAGTTGTTTCTGACCGTCTACCCCCCAAACCAAGCTCCGTAGCCCTTCCCACAAATTCTGTGTTTAGTAAAACGTCCTTTAATAAATTTGTTTTCTGACTGATTCAGGCAGAGTTACAATTGTTTAGGAATACAAAACAAAACTACTAACTGACAGTGGAACCAAAGGCATATATGAAGATGTCACATGTGAATACATGTAATAATTAAAATCAAAGCATAAAGAGTACAAATAAAATAATTGAGAACTAAAGAAAATACAGTTATGTGGAAATATATTTGGAAGGAGAATGAAAAATCTGAACAGGAGTAGTCTTAATATGGGAGAAAAACCACTAAATGCTTTCTAAATAATAGTAAGATTAGAGAATATTTCAGGGAAGCCTCAAATTCCATAGAGATCATTGAAAACTTTATTCAGAATTTTTAAGAGCATTTCTCTTAGTAAAGAGATTATTTAGTGACAGTTGCACAAACTCACATCTACCTGAATTAAGAAAGCACCATGAGGTAATCACATTAGTAATCTAACTAGTAGCACTTTTTGTATCATTCAACCACATTCACCACCTCAGCATCACATTGTTTAGTGCTTCATTCCTTAAAGTACACACACACACACACACACACACACACACACACGTAAATTTGTCATGATTGCCTGGTAACAAATTCCAATAGCGTATGCAATATTATTTATATTTTCCTTATGTCCTGGTCTAGGATACTGCACCAGATGTTCTCCAGACTATGGAGGCTGTCTTTGTGTTTCACGGTATGTTCCTACTTACTTTTGCTGCATTAGGCTGTTTCTTGACACATGCAATTTTCCATACTGCATTTCAGGGCCAAAGTAGACTCTCAGTTATGTCATAATAATTTTGTGTTTAATTCAGGTCTTTGTTTCTTGAGCTGAACATCTTCTCTGTGCTTTGTTGTGTATATCTGTGCATTTTCTCAAAGCCCAAGGGAAGAATGAGACAGAAGTGCATGATTCTAGCACTCACTCAATACTAAGGTCTTTAAGTAAAGCATAGTTCCTTTAGCAATATGTCAGCAGAGCATAGCTCCTCTATAAATCTTAGCAAATCCTTTTGGGGCTCCACTGATTCAGTTGCCAAGAAATTTGTTATTCAGAAATATTGAGAATAGCTTTGGCTTCTTCCACTGACCTCCCTCTTTTAGATGAGGTTCTTGAACCACTTTGAATGCTGAATACCAGCTTCCTATACTGGTATTGAATACAATTGAAACCTCTGCTCAGTACTAACTCTTCCATGGACATATAATTGATTTCTAGAAATTTGTTCTTTAATTAAGGATAACAAAAAAATATTGCCCACCTCTCATCATCTCAATTGAACCTGACTCTTAACAGAAGCTCCAGAAGTAAACTCTCCTACAAGTTTGTCTTCAGCATCTGTTACCCAGGCTTTTCTGCTCATTAATTATTTTGAGTGTATTCATGAATAACATAAAATTACTGAGCAACAAAACTACAAGATATAGTCCCAAAATTTCAATTTTAGATATTTCAGAAAAAAAAGAAACCATGACTTACAACCTTCTTTATTAGCAATTTCTTATCTGCAGAGTGACTGTATTAAAGAGTACCTTTGAAAGTTCGATATAATATATTGCAGTTTCCTGTTAACAGCATTGTCTTCAGACCTACACAGAAGGGCAGCTGCTTTACAGTCCACATATGTGGTCTGCGGCAACATGCCACACCCACACTAAAAGGCTATGAAATAACATAAGGACAGCAATAAAATTATTCTAATCAAATGCACAACTTTAACAGTTCAGATGAAATTCCTGGACTGTCTTAGACTTTACTAAATGAACATTTAATTATGATCAATATAATAAGAATATAAAAAAGATAATTATTTCTATCAATTTCACATCTCAGAAGAAACAAATGCAACTTTGATCTTTCTCTATTAGAAAGATAAAAAAAATATTCAGAAAATTAGCAAATTCTATGAAAACTCATGAAAATATTCATCACATCTTTCTGGCATTGTAAGAATGTTTCTATCAAAACATCCTCTGATTTAGTTAAATAATATAGAATTACTTTGAGTTACATAGCAGAAATTTCAGTATTTTATTTTGAATCATTTTTAAAATGTGTAAAAAAGAAAATATAGTAACTAGCTTTTAAACACTAACTTAGAATGAATGTGATGTGGTGCTGATAATGTATATATTGTTGATATGGGTTCAAACTATGCTACAAGGCTAAAGTAACAAAAACAGCATGGTACTGGTACCAAAACATATAGGCCAACGGAACAGAACAGAAGCCTCAGAAACAATGCCACATGTCTACAACCATCTGATCTTTGATAAACCTGACAAAAACAAGCAATGGGGAAAGGATTCCCTATTTAATAAATGGTGTTGGGAAAACTGACTAGCATATGCAGAAAACTGAAACTGGACCCCTTCCTTATACCTTATACAAAAATTAAATCAAGATAAATTAAAGACTTGGATGTAAGCACTAAAACCATAAAATCAAAGGATTATAAATCATTCTATTATAAAGATACATGCACATGTTTGTTTTTTGTGGCACTGTTCACAATAACAAAGACTTGGAACCAACACAAATGCCCATCAATAATAGACTGGATAAAGAAAATGTGGCACATGTACACCATGGAATACCATGCGGCCATAAAAAGATGAGTTCATGTCCTTTGCAGGGACGTGGATAAAGCTGAAAACCATTGTACTCAGCAAACTAACACAAGAACAGAAAACCACCACTGCATGTTCTCACTCATAAGTGGGAGCTGAACAATGAGAACACATGGACACAGGGAGGGGAACATCACACACCTGGGCCTGTAAGGGGGTGGGGAGCTAGGAAAGGGATAGCATTAAGAGAAATACCTAATGTAGATGACAGGTTGATGGCAAACCACCATGGCACATGTATACCTATATCACAAACCTGCACATTCCGCACAAGTACCCCAGAACTTAAAGTATAATAATAATAATATAAAATAAATACTAACTTAAAATGCAATGTATTTTGCTTCTACTATTACGCTTTATATTTAGTTTTTCCAGTTCAGTTATCTATGGATAGAAACATTTGATACTCTATTAAAAGACCATGAATCCAATTGGAAACAAAATAGTTCATATTTAATTATAGAACTGAAGAACAAAGCTAACTAAATTAAAAAAAATCAACCATATTCAACCGAGACAAACACATTAGAAAACAGACCATTAGTATATTCTTAAAAGAATGATATCTTGTATCTACATGTAATCCCACGTAATGTACACCTTTTGATCTCTACTAGGATGGTGTATACTAGAAAAAAAAATTTCTGAATTTATTATATACTGTATCTTCTTAAAATTCGACCCATAATGAACAAATTCATATGAAGGTTAAAAATAATTTAATGACAGAAATAATTCCTATGTGAGATGAAAAGTTTAAATTAATATTTATCAAATGCATAATAAATTTAGAGAATATGTAATATTTAAAATAAATAATTAGAAAAGATGTGACTTCTGGAATGGTAGCATGGTAAGTTTTATAAACCTTCTCCCTAGAAAATGATCATATTGAAGAAATTATTCTATAGAAGTCTTTGGAAATTGTTTCATAGCAAAAAAAAAAAAAAAAACTTTTCTTTTTTTTCTTGTGGCCCTTAGCCGTTACGTGCTTTCTCCTTCTCTCTCCCTATCTCGACATTTATTTCTTTTCTTTTTTTTCAGACTCTCCAATCTGAATGAGTAGGAACGAGAAAATGAGGCTCTCTCTCTCCTCATCTCCCAGTTAAAGGATATGCTATCTCACCAGAAGAGGTAGGTTGCCAGCTTTTCTCATACCTCTCAGCACTAAGTTGCTGATGCTAAATTCCTAGCATTTGAAGCTAAAAGTTTGAGTTTTTCTTCATCCACTGAGCCCTGACAAGTAGGGTGGAAGCTCACTCCTACTCACGGCAAGCCAAAAATATTGAGTAAATAATAATTTCTTCTCCAGCTCCCTTATACAGTGGAAGATACATGTCAGGGAGGCAACCTGAGAAGATGAGCAGTTACCTCCCCTACCAATATTATATCCCCATCCCAACATGTAGGTCCTTGGAGATGCCTGTAGGCACTGGTTGTGAAAGTTTTTCCTAATTTGCTCTGCCCTCCTGGTCCTCGAAGACACCCTACCCAGGGACACTGGGCAGGACTTACACTAAAGAGGAGCTGGTGTGTCTCTGTCACTCTGGAAAAACTACACCACTCTCCTTGCTCTCACTCTAGAGCAGAGGTTCAAATGTTTTGTTATGGTAAAGAGCTCTCTATAAAGCAACTTCAAAGCTCTCTATAAAGCAACTAACTTAATTGGTAACTGACTGTTGGGAAGTTGAAGCTGAGAGTTGTTCAGAAACAATGGCAATTTTGGTGATAAGCAACTATGAGCAACATGCTAAAATATAGACAAAAAGCTTTACTAGAGAGAATCAGATGAAGAGACAACTAACGATATTCCTCCTGTGTTTAGAACAAACCACAAAGACTTGCCTCGAAAACTAGCTCTGCAATTGGTCTTGGTTTAATTGGATCAGACTGTGGGAGCAATTTATACTTTAGGGTATCATAAAAATCAACAGATCAATCAGCCTGTCATTCATTAGTAGAGACTAAAATCTGGGTGTGTTATATGCAGAGGCAGACAGCTTAACAGAGAGAGCAGGGAAATAGTCCACTAGAATTCTGCTAAAACCACTGCTAGTCTAGGGTGATTGTCCTCTGCCTGAGGCTATGCCTTCTGAGAACATTTATGGCTTCCCGTTGAATGAGAAACAGACTTTACAAAAATAGTACAGCCAAGTCAATAAGCAAGAAAGAAACAAAGTTGAAATTTATAAATATCTCACTGTGTCTTCTAAGAAGTGGATACTCTACGTGTAGAACTGAAAAAGATAACTATTTTCAAATTTACACCGTTACTTTATAGCTTGAAAATAAAGTAAAGTAGAAAATATTCATGCTTACATGACTGATAAAGAAAAAAAAATATAAGCCAGAATTTTGGCTGAATATCTAGGAACATTGTGTGTGTGTGTGTGTATATATATATATATATATATATATATATATATATGTCTATATATATATGACAAATTGGTTGAATTTGCCTCTAGAAAAAGTCCTCAACAATATTGAAGTAATGATATATCTTGGACCAACTCTAAGACTGTATGTGATATTTTCTGGATCTGCCAAAATATTTGAGAACCACACTGAGGCACAATATAGGAATGCAGACTAAATGTTGTTAAAGTAATTGTTTTAATGTATAGAAAAATATAAGCTCACTAGAAGTAGTAAGCAAAATAACAGAAAATACTTCAAGAATCATTCAAGAAAAACCATTAAATCTGTGCTATTCACAATTATTTGGAATAAATTATTGCTTACTATAATTTCTATGTTAGCAATAGCTTATAGAAAAACAAACAGGTCTAGAATATGCTATTTTATTTTTACTATGATAAAATTTATTTGATTTGTTAATCAAAATAACTGTATGTGAAATATTCAATATATGTAGCAAAATAAGGAAAATGAAATAAAAATTAAAAATTTTACATGATTATGAAAGAAAATAGTCACATACAAATAATACTGAAATTAATATCTGCAGAATTTATATTCTGGCCAATATAAATTAAGATGTGTCCCTGATGAAAAAAGCAAATACACGAACAATAGAAACAGAATAAAAACTATTCTGACTCAGAATCTCATGTTCTTTTTTCCTTTTTGTGTGTGCATGTGTAATTAACAGTGGGTTTTCTGAAGAGGTCTTATTGCTAACCTCTTGGAATACTGTTGTTACCTGGTTAGAAAATACAGTATTAAACATCTGATTTATATGAAACCATAAGTTCACATGCTAGGTCGCATTTACTCTTTTTCAAAATTAGGAATTATCAAAAATGTTTTAAAAGTCTTTGAACCATTCAAAAACAAGTTGAACATCTTTCTGTTTCATAGATGGAACAGAAAACTCAAATTAAGAAGGGGTTGAAGTTGATGAGATGAAGTTCTCTGGGGAGGAAATCAGAAGAAGTATCCAGGAATTGAAACTTTAAAGGAAAATAGAATGAAATCACCTAATAAATTGTAGAATGACCAGAACCTAATCAATGAAAATGGGTAGGGTTGTGACCTGTATTGAGTTATTGCTCAGGAGGACAAGATTAATCAGAAATAGCCAAGCAACCAGGACCTAGGCTGAGACATCAATATACAGGAGCTGCCAATACATGATTTGATTCTGAATGCTACAGTCATATGCATCAGGGAGAAGTAATCAGAATCTATCAATCAGAACAAAAGGAATGAAGAAAAAGAGATTACAAAGGCAGAATAAAAAGAAGAAAAAAAATTTCCATAAATTCCTTCTTCTACTAACAAGAATGTCAAACTACAAAAAGCATTAATTAATTAAGAAAGCCAATTCACTCAACATAAGATTTTGCCATCTTCAATCTTCATACAATCAAGAAAATATAAAAAACAAACTATAAAAAGCACATACAACAGTATTATAAAGATAAAGGGAAGGAAAATATCCATAAAACCAATAAATTACTACAAAGAAAAATGAATACAATAATAAAGAATAGTTGAAGATTAAAATAACTAATTATAAATAATAGAAATTTAAAATTTTTATTAAAATAGAAAAAAAAGAAACAAGATAAATTCTAGACTTTCCAAAAATGAAGAATAATTATTTCAAAATAATCTCAGAATTCACCCATAAATCAGTATACCACCATATGGAGGTTGATATAATAAAAAAGATGCTAAAACATTCCATTTAAGATAAAAATGTCAAAGCATATCTTTACAGAAACAAAACAAATATATTAGAAAGCATGAGGGAGATTCTATCTTTAAAAATATGACAGAGAATTTTCCTGAAATAAAGAACAAATAATTTTTATATAGTTTTATTTAAAGTGCCAAATTGGAAAAGTAAAACTATCCACATAAGTTTATGTAGATATATAGTAAAACCATGTGATATCAAATACATAAAAGAAAAAAATTAAACCAACTGATCAAAGAATGGCAAATTATTCACAATGGAATGTTAATTATCTTGACAGCAAAAATATCTCATTAGCAATAGTAATTGACTAAAAGATTATGACATACTAAAACATGTATTTGGTCTCTGCCCTCAGTTTCTAACACAGAGCTTCTGAAACACTTGTAATTTTCTAAATAATAAAGTTATAGAAGCATCTTTTGTTATAATATTAGGTCTCAATCCTTGGTTCCTGATATAAGAATTTCTAAGAACCTTGCAATCTTCAGAATAATGCATACCTTTGGTATGCTAGTGAGATGACTGGCAGTTACGAGTCACTAGACAGCTTTACAATTGGAAAGAACAAGGCATGATTAGAGAATTGGCACTGCCTGCCCCACCCTTTAACATTTGGGGAGAAGACAAGGGTTGGAGATTGAGTCATTATCAATTATTTAATCAAATAATGCTTATGTAATGGAACACCTATAAAAACACTAACAAGAGGGTTAGGGGAGCTTCCAGGTTGGTGAACACACACACATGCCAGGAGGGTCGCTCCACCCAACCCCACTAGGACAGAAGTGTCTTGAATTCAGGACCCTTCTGGATCTTACCTTGTGTACCTCCTGATCTTGCTATTCATCCATATCTTTTATAATAAACCAGTAATAATAAGTAAAGTGTTTCTCTGATTTCTGTCAGCTGCTTTATGAAATTATTGAACCTAAGAATGGGTTCATGGGGACCCCCAATTCATACACAAATTAGAAGTGTAGGTAGCCTAAGATATCACTATTTGCAATTGGCCTCAATCTTACAGGATTAAGTCCCTTTGTGAGGTCCATCCTGTTATAATTCCAGGTAGCTTGTGTCAGAATTGAATTAAATTGTAAGACACTCAGAATTACTTGGTGCAGAATACCTACACATTTGGCGTAATTGACAATCCGTCATTTTAAAAACTGAGAACAGAATAACATATATAAACAGCTTCACAAACTAAGTCAGTTTCTACACAGATATCTTTCCTGAAATTGTAATAACCTACCCTGAGCTAGCATTACTGACTCCATCTTAGCTGTAAACTCCAGCCTAGCTTCCCCTTCCCTACCACAGCCCCTCTGAGTGCATAACTGGGTCATGCTGCACGTAGATGCGTTGAAGCATACTGTTCTTAACACTTGTAACCATTGTAACCGCATCCTGCTTGGCACACCCGCCTTGCTATTGCAAGAAAAATTTTTCCCTTTGGTCATTGTGTAGCAGGAGCCTGATCACCCCTCCTTCTTGGTAATTGTATGGAAAACACTTGTGCCCACAGCTCCTTCCTCTAACCTGCTTTTCTGCTTCTGTAAAATTCCGCTTCAGCTAGATACCCCCTCCCCTACCTAAATCAAGGTATAAGAGATAATCAAGCCCCTTCCTCGGGGCCCAGAGAACTTTGAGCATTAGCCGCCTCTCAGTCGCTGGCTGTAAAAGGACTCTTAATTTGGAACTCAGTGAGTGGCACATTTCTTCTAACTCGCTCAGTTACTACAAAATAAATAATAAAACATGTATTTCAGTCAGTAAAAAGGTAAAGAAATAAGGAGGGGGGAAATGCAAATATTAATAAAGACCCTAGATAATGATAAAATAGCTTGATAAAATAAATCTTATAAAATAGAAATAATTAAATCAAAGTTGTTTTTTGGGAAACCTATAAATAAAATGTTAGCCACTGTGTCATATAAAATAGAAAGATATATAATTAAATGTA